CTTCCTTTACCTTCAACTTTCTAAATTTTACATGGCTTTCTGTTTTAAATACAGTCAACTCATGTGATACCAAATATTAAATTCAAAAGCTATATGAAAACACATTTAACGGGATCTTTGCAAAAATTCCCTGTGGTGGGGTAACAAGTGTCATCCTTACTGCAGATGAAAACACGTGTTCCCCTGCTATCAAAGGTGAGCATCCCTGTGAAATCTTTCATAAACCAAAATGGCATAAAGTGAAGAAGCATTACCATTAATTTATATGGGAACATTTTTTCAAGCATTTACAGACTCCCAAAATAACCTCTCAGGCTTTCCTGACACCATAGGACACATTCTGCTAATGGATGAACAAAAGAAAGATGAAGCCCAGATGCTCACAGCTATGAGAGCATGCTGGGATGCTCAGTGTAGTTCCCAGGGAAGGAACTTGGTGGGGCAAATCCCAGCTGCTCGAGGTGCATGGTGCCTCTGGAATGGCTAGATGCAAAACACTGAACACTATTTTCACTTTTTTGTAAAAGCAAAAACCCACTTTGGACTTCTTTGGGTTAACAAAACCAGGTACTAATGCAGGTATTTGTAAAAGCTAAGTGGCATAATACAAACTTTTTAAAAGCTGGGAATACCTGTACCTAAAATTTGAAGGAGCCGAGTCATTGCCCCCAAAAGGCAGCAGCTGGCACAAAGCGACAACAGCATCACACCCAGGATTTTAAGGTCCTGGTCCACAGCTCATTTGAAGAATTCAACCTCTCTCTGCTTAACCTTTCACTCTCATTGCTTGACCTAAATTTCTTTAGGATCATAAAGCATCCCTCAGCCAAAGTCAAAGGCCACTTCTCACGTATTTTTCTGAACTCTGCTACATCTGGCTGTAATATTCCTATTTTTTATACTATCATCTTCCACCTGGATTTCTGTAGTGACTTCCTTCTTCACTAATTCATTCTTGTTCTCCTCCGTTTGCCATAGATTGTCTTTTAGACATCCTGTTACATTTCTAATTAAACCCACTCTACTTTGCAGTCCAAAATGGAAACAGTTGTCCCATATATAGTGAAGGCTCTAATTTATATGTCTATTCCTGTAATGCTGCCATTTCTGTGATGAATCCACTTCATTCTATGCTTTCATCACTTCTGGCCTTCATTAATTCCAACTGTTGCCTGATCCTATCCAGCATTCATTTCTTACAGAAGTTAGGTCCCAAAGCAGGGAATACAAAAGACTACTGATAGTTTATTAGATGATTTTAGGTTGTCCACAGATGAGTATTTAAAATTATACATTCAATTTAAAAACATGTTGGCAGGTGGGGAGACAGACATGACTGTAACACCAAATAATATGTAAATTTTTATTTTAAATTCATTTAATTAAAAGATAAAATTTTTTAAAGTTGAATTAAAAAAATATTAAGACAGATGGCCTGAAGATAAAGCAAAAATTGTAAATGGCTTAAGTTTGGGAAATACCGGCCCCCAGGAAATCCGTGTAAGCACAGAAGTTAGGCACTCAGCCTCTGGATCAATGACTCAAATCCCACTTACCTTCAAACAAATTACTTAAATTTATTTAAACCCCAGTTTTCTAATTTGTAATGGGGACAAAATAATCCATCTCCCAGGCTCAGTGTCTGGGCTAATTGCTCAATGATAAGAACAATTACAATTATTCTTGGTCTCTCCAGGCCATCATGCCCTCACACTTGTAATCACCTGGGCACTCGATCTATACTAGACAATTTTACATATATGAATTTTCTGCCCCATATTTCCCTTATCTGTTTATATACCTTTATCGTCCAGTATGAATCCAAAGGTAATATGGTAACTTTTAGTATTAATCCTTAAAATTGTGAACATCTTGGTAGTGGGAACCAAAAGTCACATTCCTGATTCACTGGGCCTTACAACAAATCTAAAAATTAGGAGGAAAGTCTGATGCAAACAAATCTCACAAGGCATAGTAAAAACAAGCTATTGAAAGCAACTATTCTAATGGGCAAAAAAAGGGGAATGACAGGGTATTCTTTTGCTCCCAGAAGATATTGGTCAGTTGAACCTTAGTTCTATTCTTTTGTACTTCCTAATTAATCTTATTCATTCAATAAGACACAATAAAATCTAGGTATATGCCAACTACTGTACAAGGTGACGAGGACACAGAAACCACATAGTAAAGGAAAACAGTCTAATATCAGAACACAAGCAAGTAAACAGAAAATTACCACATAATATGCTAAGTAAATAATACCCAGTATTTTTTTAAATACTTGATAATGCTCCACAAATGCTGCTTATATCTTGTCCTCCTCTAACGTGGAACACCTCGCCAAGCGCATTACACTGACAATGACAATTTCATTACTGTGTTTAGACTCTAGGTATCTGCTACCATTATGTAAGTTCGTTTGCTACGTAGACAATCACTGAAACTCAGTCAATAGCCCTTGTTAGATTTGATTTGCCAGAAAATACATGCAGGTACCCACAGGCCCCAAAACATGACTGGCATTCTGTTAAGCTAATGCAAAGTAACGACTAGGAAAATAACTGGCAAAATGATCGGTTTATACTTAGCCTTTCTGGGGATTGTGGAAAAACACAATAGAAAATTCATTGAAGTTACTCTCCAGAGAATACTTTTACCACAAAATGTCCTAATACATCGATGACATTATTGTGAAATTTAAAATGTTATGACACAGCAAGTTAATGTATTAATTCTCAAGACTTCTGAGCAACAGTTAACATAGCCTGAGATAAGCTTTCATTGTTATCCTATGCATAAGGTGAGAAGTCTCCACTGAAAGTTTACCAGTGGTAACTCAGTCAGACACAACTTCAGGGTCTCCTTCGCTAAAGCAACAGGGTTCTGTACCAATCAGTGTAACATTTTATCAATGTTCAATAATAACTGAAGCAGTGTTTAGTGGGCAGGAGAAAATCACTCGGAGGGATAGGGGACATAACATAACTTCAAAGACATTTTACTAGTAAGGATAGTGGGGTGGCATAGGGTTAAGGGGGAAACAAGCTGTAATGAGCCAGATGTCTACGTTTTCAGCTATGCTCAATATACTGATCCCAGGGTTACTGACTGTAAAACATGAAGAAATAGTTAAGAAACAAAATTCAGCATGTGTTTAAATACGTATATTAACGTCTAAAAAGTCTTAAAAAAGAAGAAACTATTTTTAAGTTCTCAAAGAATATATACCCCATTGTGATAATGTATGGACTATCTGCTGCTTGGAAGAACATTTTCTATTAATATTATGCCACTCCACTTAGCTGACCTTTACTATGCACTGAGCACAGTAACCAACCAGCCTTCTATATACGTTATCTTTGTTAATCCCACAGCAAGCTCTTGAGATAGTTATTATTAATATCATCATCTCCGTTTTACAGGTAGGAAAATATTTTACCAATAATACAGGCCAGATCTCAAAATTTAAAGACTGTATGTCACACTGTAGAGTTAAGAGTTTTACTAAACTGGCCTTTAAATAGAAAAGGGTACAAAAAGTAACTTCCATCCCACCCTCAGAGTAGTTATAACCCATTTCTTACACCTTTCAACATTTTAACCTGCACATGCAACACTGTTTCTGTACTGAAGTCAAGCGAAAGAAAAAATAAGCTAATAATGCTGTATCGTTTTTAGTTACTACAGATGATGAAATTACAAGGATCAGGGAGGCAGTTCGGTGGCTTAGAGCATCTATAGCACCACAAAATTTGCTGTGTGACCTTGGTCAAATTTCTTCAATCTCTGATTTCGTTTCCTGTCTGTAAAGAGGGGATAGTAACACCGCCTCCCTCAAAGGCGTGCTGTTAGACAAAAAAAAGACAGTGTGTGTGTGCCGGGCCTTAGTACTGTACTGAGCACACAGTAAAAGGTCAACTGAAGGTGGAGGGACAACAGCCACACATACAAGCTCACCCAGAACAAACACAGAATAAAAGTAAAAGCCTGTATTCTGAATCCCCATCATAGAAAAGGAGAGTTTTATTCAACTGCATGATAGACATATAACTCAATTTCCATCTACTCCTAATTTTGGGGGTGGTATCAATGTATTTGAGGTGGGCCAGAAAAGATGCTGCAGTGCATGCGTGACACACACCTAAATATGGCTCCAGTCGGAGGAGCATCAGAGTTACCGACAAGCGGAAGTTAGCAAACGCTGGAGCTGGGCTTGGCGGGCACCTACGGACCACCCCGTCCTTTTCGGTGGCAAGAGTAAGCGCTCAAGCAGTTGATCACGCATCCTGACTCTCCGGGTGCAGCCCAAGGGACCCTCCAGCGCGGCTCTGCAGCTCCGACCCTAGGAGCCCAGGCTGAAAATCCGACAGCGCGGCGACCTGAAGGGTAGCGGCTGGAGCCAGCGAAAACCTCAAAAAAATCCCGAATAGGGTCCAAACAAACGCAAACCCCTTTAAGGGGACGAGACGCACTCCTCCTCGGCAGAGTTCGCCGGCGTGCCCAGCGACCCCAGGCCGCGCCTCAGAGCCGCGCAGCACCGACCGCCTCCAAGGGGCCACGAGGGGGGCTCACACGCAGGTCAGGCACGAGCGGCGGCCAGACCCCCAAGCCGAGCTTCCCCGCGCGGGCCACGCGACGCTCCGGCCACCCCACCCTCGCCGCGCCGGGCGGAAGCTGGAGGCCGGCGGGCGAGCTGCGGCCGCGTCCCGCCAGTCGCGGGACGGGGCTTTCCGGGAGCCCGGCCGCGGGGCCCGGCGGAGAAGCCACGCTGCGGACACGCGGAGCGCGGCCCACCTGCCGGCAGAAACGGGGCCCGGCCTCGGGGAGCGGCCACGCGAGACACCCGGCCTCGGGGAAAGCCCACGCGGAGGCCCTGGCCTCGGCCCGGCGCCCACGCGGGACCCCCGGCCTCGGCCTAGCGCCCCGGCTGCGGAGCGCCCACACCGGCCCTCCCCGTGGACCCGCCGTGACTGAGGCTCCTACGCCCTCGCCCCCCTTACCGGCCGAGGCAGGGATCTGGCCGAGCGTGTGGCGCGCTTCGAGGGGCTCCGCCGAGCTCCGGTCGCGAGAGGAGCAGTGGATCGCAGACCAGGCGGCCGGAAGGACCGCCGCAGCGGAACGGAGAACCCGCCAAAGAGCTTCGCGCCGCCCGAGACGGAAAGCGAGCGAGAAAAAGGAGCAAGATGGCGGCCGGCCAGCCCCTGCGTGCTACGTCACGCGCGGCGCACGTAGGGCGGAGCTCCTCCCGGCACCCGGCGCAGAGATGGTGCGTCACGTGGCGCGTCCGAGGCGGCTCTCCCGCGCGTAGGCGCAGCGCCCAGTGTTGAACGGAGTGCCGCTCGGGGAGGTGGCGAGACCCCGCGGAGCGCGGCGGGCCGCAGCGACGGGCCCCTGCCCGTCGGCCCGCCGTTCGGCCGCGCGCAGTCTTACCGTGACGCCGGACCCCTGGGGCTCTCCGGAAGTACGCGTGCGCGTCCGAGCCCTGCGCGTGGCGGGACTTTCCCGGCGCCGCGGTGGACGCCCCGGACCGCACGTAGAAGGGAGCCTGACGCCCGCAGGCGCCGCTGCCGCTGCTACTCCGTGAACACGTGCCGGCCTTGGGGGGAAAGCCCGGCAGTGGCCTCGGCCGCGGTAGTACTGGCGGCTGAGGACAGTGGTTTTCTAGGGTGATAGTATCTCTAAAGACACGCGTGCCTTCCGGCAGTTTCCAGAACTTATAGTCAGTCCAAACCTTAATGTGTAATGAAAATGTGTTTCATAAAATCAGAATATATGTGCGTGCATGTATATATTTTATATATGTACATATATATGTGTGTGTGTGTACCTAAGACGTGCTGTGTTTAAGTTTCTAGAAGTAATACATTCTCTGTAGGCTTTATAAGAAACAACAGGTTTGAATTCCAGTTCTGCTCATTGTCACGTAGTGTGAACCACGTTACTTTCCATGTTTTAGAGTCAGTTTTATCATTTGTAAAATGGAGATACCTGCTTCTCGACTTTGTGTTATTCACTCACCAAAATTTACTGAACTGTATGTCCTGGGTACTGGGAAATGAAGGGAAAGGGCAGATGAAAAGACCTGGTTCTAATGAAACAGGCTAGTGTTACCAATCAAATAAGGGATTTTGGATATGTGCTGAAGGAGCAGAAAGGATATTGGGGTAAAGAACAATTGGGGTAAAGAAGGAATTGACTTTGGAAGGAGTGGCCAGTGAGTACCTTTCTGAGAAGGTGCCATATAAACAGGGACCTGAATGATAAGAAGAAGCAGCAGTAATGCAAAGAGTAGGTGGAAAGTGCCTTGGATCAAATGAACTGCAATTGCAAATGCCCTCATTTGAGAGAGTTTGGAATATTCTTGAGAACTAGGATAGAAGTATGTCAGGAGCTCAGGAGAGAGAGTGGCACAAAGCTGAGACTAGGAGGAGAGACTAGGGCTACATTCAGAGAGGCCTTGGAGGCCAGGTTGAGAGTTCAGAATGACTTCTGGACACAGCGAAAGCCATCAGAAGGTTTGAAGAAGGGGAGCGCATGATCTTGCTTTACATTTCAAGGGCATTGCTGTTACTGCTGACTGAAGAGTGTAAAGAAAGGGTTGGATGGAGGTAAGGGTGGATGTGAGGAGCCCAGTAGGCAGTAATGAAGTGATGGAAGGGGTGAAGAGTCATAGACTTGGACTAGCAGGCAGTGGACACAGAGGGAGGCAGGCAGGTTGGGCATGTATTTTGGATCTAGAAAAGGCTTGCTTGTAGGAGATGATCACTTCTAAAAGGGGAGAGGATGTGAAGAAAAGACGACATACAAATCTATGGCTTGAACAACTACATGGATGACAGTGACATTGGTAAATGAGGTGGGGAGGGAAGGAACACCAGTCGGTAGGGCAATACAAATTAAATATTAAAAAGGAAAAAAATAGAGAAAGATTAAATTTGGGGGCATGTTAAATTTGAGATGTTCATGTAATGTCCAACTGTAGATCAATAATGCATTTGACATACATGTCTAGATCTCCGAAGGAGTGTTGGGGCTGCAGATAGTGGTTTGGGCTGCATAGACGTGTTTCATATGTATTTCATGGATGTGTTTAAAGTGGTGGGAAGAGATAAGATCACTCAGAGGGCAGAGAAAGAGAAAAAAGGCAGCCCTAAAGAATAACATTCAGAGGTTAGGTGGAGTTGGAGTACTTAGCAAGGAACCCTGAAGAGAAGCCAAAGAAATGGGAAACCCAAAGAGGATGATGTCACAGAAGCCAAGAGAGGAGAATATTGATATACCGAATTGTACTGGTTTCAAGCATACAACACAGCGATTTGACTAATACTTTCCGAACTGCTCACTCCAATAAACATTCTACATAGTTACTGTCAATACAGAACTACTGTGTTCTCTAAGTTGTACTCTCACCCCCATGACTAATTTATTTTATGATTGAGATTTTGTGCCTCTCTCTCCCCTTCACCTACCTCACCCTGCCAACACCATCCCTCCCACATGGTAACCACCTGTCACTTCTCAGTGTCTATTAGTCTACTGCTGTTTTGTTGATTCTATTTTGGTTTTTCAAATTCCACAAATAAGTGAAATCATATAATACTTGTCTTTCTCTGCTTACTTCACTTAACATGATACCCTCTAGGTCCATCCATGTTGCTGCAAATGGCAAGATTTCTTTATTAGGGCTGAATAATATTCCATTGTGTACATGTACCACATCTTTATCCATTCAGCTATTGATGGGCATTTAGACTGCTTCCGTATCTTGGTTATTGTAAATAACGTGGCAATAAACATAGGGGTACATGTATCTTTCAAATCAGAGATTTTGTTTTCTTTGTAAATTCCTAGAAGTGAAATTACTGGATTGAATGGTGTTTGTATTTTTAGTTTTTGGGAACCTCCATACTGCTTTCCACAATAGCTGCAACAATTGACATTCCCACCAACAGTGTTGGAGGTTCCCCTTTTCTCTACATCCCCACCAATACTTATTATTTCTTGCCTTTTGGATAGTGGCCTTTCTCACTGGTGTGAGGTAATATCTCACTGAGGTTTTGATTTACATTTTCCTGATGATTAGTGATGTGGAGCATCTTTTGATGTGCCTGCTGGCCACTTGTATTTCTTCTTTGGAAAAATGTCTATTCGGATCTCTGCCCATTTTTTAATTGGGTTGTTTGTTTTTGGTGGTATGTCATGTGAGTTCTTTATATATTTTGTATATTAGCCCCTTACCAGATATATCATTGGCAAATATATTCTCCCATGTAGTAGGTTGACTTTTCATTTTGTTGTTGGTGTCGTTTGCTGGCAGAAGCTGTTTAGCTTGATGTAGCCCCACTTGTTTATTTTTGCTTTTGTTTTCCTTGCCTGAGAAGACATACCCAGAAAAAAGTTACTCATGCTTATGTTCAAGAGAAGCCTGCCTGTGTTTTCTTCTGAGTTTTATGGTTTCATTTCTTACATTTAGGTCTTTAATCCATTTGGAGTTTACTTTGCAACTAGGTATTTTGGATAACATTCAGCCTTCTGGTGGAAAAGAGAATTTCAGTGTTATTAAAATATCAGTGGTCCATTCCTACTTCAGTTTTGTTTCTTTGTGTTTTCCATTCTTATTTCTACTGGGGTTAATTAAACAGTTATTACAGAAATATTTCTTTGAGTTGCTGAGACTCTCAGTGAGATAACTGCTTCAGATGGGAATTAGTAGTACAGCACTCCGGGGGCTGGGCCATTGTTAGCCCAGTGGGGCACAGGCTGGCGAGGAAGATGAAGGAAGAGGAATAGTGATAGAAGGAAAATTGGGAAAAATTTCCTCTAAGTATTTTAACAGCCTGAGTAAATTGCCATGAAATGAAACTCTTCATTTCAGTATTCACTATTACCATATGAAATTTTTAACCAAACAGTCTTATTGTAATGATGAATGAAATAGTGCCTCCTGTTAGGCTACATGTGGCCGGGCCAACTGCCAGACCATGACAGGATGCTGGCAGGGTGATGAATTATCCCAATTCGCATGCGGCTGTCACGGTCTTAGTATTGAAGGCCCCATAACAGCAGCTTCTCAGCCCAGGCGAAACAGACACTGGTCACCCTACACGCCCACAGCAAAGCGGGGAATGGCTCCCAGTACCAGGCTTCTTCCACATTGTCATCTTTTTGTTGTACACCTGAGATGTCACTTCCAGAGACCACTAACAGGAGGGGAGAGGGGCCTCTGAGTCCCCAGGCATTAGCCAGGCTGCAGAAGACAAGCAGTTGGCCCTGAGGAGCCCACGCGCAGCTGGACACACCGCCATTCGGGTTCCCGCCGGGTTGGTCTTGCTGCCTCACTCCTCCGCCCTGTTCCAGCCGCTGGGTGGGGTCAGCACTGGGCAGCCCCTGTACGAATCACTTTACATGGCAAACTGCAACGCAGACTGTAAAACCGAGGCTCCAAGAGGTTACACGGCTCGCTCATCAGTGTGGGGCCGGTGTTTGGACGGAGGCCTCACCGCACTGTCCCACGAGGGCCTGTGCGCCTTCTCTCTGACCTTCTCTCAAGGACAGTACCTCCTCAACCCCTGCTCCACGACCTGGAGGCACAGTGACCAATGCTGTTGATGAGACCAGGCTCTCCTTTGTGCAGAGAGCATCAGCTTTCGTGACCTGCGCCGGTGAATTCCCTCAACGCGGCAACATTCAACGCGGCAACTGAAGGCGATTTTCAATGGATCCTTTAAGAAGCACAAAAGGAATAAGCAAGAACAGATGCTGCCCACGGGTAAAGGGTCGACACCGAAGGCAGGAAATACTGTTGCTTGAAATCATTAAGTAAGAAATCAGAAATTTGGCCCGACACAATTAAAAACACTACCGACACAATTAAAAACACTACTGATTTGGAGACTGAACTCCTCAGTCGCCTTAAAGTTAAATTGGCAACTCAGCCAATACCAATTATTTACCCAGCTTTATCAATGTTATGAAAACAGATGATGGGACAGCATTTTGCTTACATGGTACTGTTAAAAACAAAATTCAACCAAGTAAACTTGAAGATCTAATTGGCTTTATTAAATGATTCATCAGTCAGGCAGCATCCCCTCTGGGGAGCTATACAAAATGGAAGAATTTATTAGGAAGGAGGGTGGGCAAGAAGTTACCAGCAAAAGAGGAAAAAGGATTATTTCAAG